TACAAATTTGATGAGGTTATTATTACCCAGGTTGAAGTTGCACATTAAGAATTAAACCAGAAATAACTTTAGATAAATAAATCTGAAATTCATAGAAAATTTAGTGGGTCTATATGACATAGATTTAGAAAATTAAAGCGAAATATTTATATAAAAGTAGGGTATTATTGTTGATGATTTGTTAAAAACATGTTTTTAAGGATTTGGAATCAGCAGTAAAAGGTGTCATACACCACAAAAGGTTAAAGGGGTTGTATGATGATATTAGCATACGAAAATCAAAGTTAATTTGAGGCACACCCCCTTTACGTCGAATTGCCGCTACGGGAAGACGAAAAGGGAATTTGAGTCTCAAAACTTCAGGTTTTTCTATTCACAAGGCCGGAGGGTGCAAAAAATTAAAAATCTATGACCTGTAATGTTGTAATGCATTTGTTGAGAGGCCACGCCCCCTTAACCTCGAATTGCCGCTACTAGAAAACGAAAAGGGAATTTGAGTCTCAAAACTTCAGGTTTTTCTATTCACAAGGCCGGAGGGTGCAAAAAATTAAAAATCTATGACCTGTAATGTTGTAATGCATTTGTTGAGAGGCCACGCCCCCTTAACCTCAAACTGCCGCTACAGGAAAACAAATGAATTGGCAAGTCTCAAAATTTCAGGTTTTCAGTTCACATAGATATCTATATCACTGAGACAGTGTCCAAAACAAAATTTAGAAATCTATGACCCTGGTGTAATGCATTTGTTGAGTTGGCATAGAATGACTCAACTTTTCGTGATTTCCGATTATGTTATTGTGTAGTTTTCAACATAGTATCTAACCATGAAGGAGCTGACTACCTAACCTGAAATTTGGTTTATAGGTAGATCTAATATATAACTGGGGTAAATTTAAGAAAAGATTTTAACTTTCCACAAGACGATCTGTTGTTGAGAAACATAGGCATTTTTCACTTTTATAGATCTGGTCCCAACTTTGAATATATGCCATTCAATTTTAATTGATTTGATCAGACTGCGCTTGCATGTGGCTAGAGACAACTACACTTAGATAATACACCTGTAATATGAGGGGTATATACCCATTCAAATGGAAGCAAGGTGACCTTGAAAATCACAAAAAAATGTGCATCGTTAAACAAAGTGGCTAATTTGAGTGCAGATAACTTCAAAAGGGAAGGGATAACTGTTAATCTAAGGCGATATTTGTGAAATATGGCGACAACTATGTTAGAATACCAAGTTTGACTCTGATAGCTAATACCAATCTCGAGTTATAAGCTTCCAAAATTGAGGTAAATTGCGTTTGCACATCTTGAAGAACCACGCCCCATATTTTTGAGGAGTCAATATCTCGAAAACTACATATCCTATGAGGCTAATTTTTTTTTTTTATTTTGTTGGTTTTTCATACAGTGGATCATTTTTATGAAGTTTCATCAAAATCTGAGACGGTCATACAGGAATTTCTTTTTATTCTGGTTGATTTGACATGGAATGACCCTACAATAGGTCAAAGGTCAGAATGTACCGTTTCCTGTCACTATTTGAACATTTTTTTTTATTAGGACGAATAGAAACATGAATCTCCTGAACAATTTGCAATCAATTGTGAGTCTCTATGACCAGTAGTTACCGACATATGACATTACAAGGTCAAAGGTCAAACTTTCAAAAACCCCTTTTCCCGCCATTTTTTGATAAAAACAACAAATAGGAACATGCATATTGTGAACAATTTGAGACCAAAATCAAGTCTCTCTGACCAGTGGTTATCGAGATACAAGCGTCCAAATCAACAGGCGGCCATTTTGAAAAACGCCCCCAAACGGGACTTCCCCCCCCCCCCATATCTGGGAGGTATATAGGAGCTATATTTTATCTAAATTGGTCCATCTTGCCAAATCCATCGAGAAACAAAGGTATCCTAAAATTAGTCACGGATCTCATGAAAATGACTCTACTACACATGGACCAAGCAAATATCAACACACATTCAGTCGCGAGAGTTCAGAGAATTTTTTCAATCGCGATTACATCGTAACGTAAAACAAGGCTTTATACACCCAGATCAATGCATATTCTCGCTACTCCACGAAACTGGAGTTCATCAAACTTTCGCTGGTAGCCTAGATAGGGTATACAGTATACAGTATATAGCAGTTTTTTCGTGTTTGTGACAAATTTTGACCGACATTTTATTACTTTTTAAAAAGCGTAGCCAGGGTTTACCCCTCCCCCAACGTACGTTTTCTACGCTTGTGAAAATGTTGATAATTGTGAAGGACCCATTAGATTGGGTAAAATAATTGAATTCACTTTGAATTTACATTGGTTATGACAAAGCAAATTTTGCAGTACGCAATTGGGCGCAAAGGATGGTTAATTTAGAAAAAGTGTTAAAGCAATGGAAAAAAAGAAACCTTACAGTATTTGGAAAATTAACAATCACAAAAAAGTTACGACTTTCAAAAATAATCTATAACGTGATTAAGTGTGATTGAAACTCCTGATTATATTGTTAAACAGATTGATAAACTAATAGCAGATTTTATTTGGAACGATAAAAAAGCAAAGATCAAAAGAGTATCTTTGATTGGTGACTATTCACAAGGAGGTATTAAACTACCAGACTTCATATCACAAGTAAAAGCCTTAAAATACTCATGGTACAAACGACTTCTTCATTCCGAAGAAGGTATTTGGAAAGTTATTCCAAGATGGTATCTTTCAAAGATTGGTCCTGATAACTTACTCTGTAGAATAACAAGTGTTGATATGTTAGATAAAAATACAAAGATAAAGATACCACAATTTTACAAAGACGTTTTACTCTCATTGTCAGAATTTAATGTTATAAATCAAAGTAATCCCATTAACTATAAAGATATTATCAAACAAAATAAGTGTAGAATGAAATCCATCTGGTATAAACAATGGATCGACTATGGATTCATGAACATTAACGATATTCTTATGGTTAATACATGGAAAAATTACCCGAAAATTGTTAGTAAACTTAAGGGTAATGCCAATTGAATGATTGAATATTTGAACATCTTAAATGCTATTCCAAAACATTGGAAAATTGTATTAATTCATATAAAAGAAAATGTACTTGCCCTCGATTATGGGGTGCCATACGCAGCAAAAGTCCACGTTAAAATCAAAAGAACCGAAAAAATCCGAAGAACGCATGCGCCAACTGGTTACAGTTTTCAAAATCAGTGTCTATATTTCTGGAAATAAAATTCAGGTAATCCGAATTTTTTAATACAATCGATCGATATAGGCCTAACCAACTTACCTATGTGATTGCACTAAACGTTGTCATTAACGGAGTTATCAAAAGGAAATTGTAATATTAACAATCAAAATCATAGGCCTCAGCTAGCGTCTATCAACAAGAAACAAAGGCAACCGTATACAGGGTGAGTACCCATACCATTCGTCCGTTGAACAATCAAAACCACGGTAGCACCTATTGTTTACTGTTGGCATGGCAACTATTCAACTGGATAGCGCTAACAAAGAGATCGTCACAGTTGCGGAACAAGACACTTCACAAACAGCAAATAAATCGAAATGTTATTACGAAAACTGTACAAATACCAAAGGCGCGACGGTTAAGTGCAGCAACTGTCTTATGGATTACCACTTAATTTGTGTCAAGTTGAAAAAACGGCCCTAAACTACCACATGGGTTTGTAATTTCTGTTCGACAGACTTAAAATATATTGTTCAAGAACTCAAATCACAACTGGATGTTATGAACACCACGGTAAAAAAGATGACTACCGAAAACATAAACATATCTAAGCGCCAGGCAACACTTGAAAAAGAAAACAAAAATCTGAAAACCTCTGTCAAAGAACTCAACGAAAAAGTTAAAGATCTAATTTCAGATATGCAGAGAATAAATAGATCTACTTCCTCTAGTGTTACCAAAAAAAAACACTAATTATAGGTGATTCTATTTTGAGAGATATACAGGAATCGTGGTTCCAGCAAACCGATGTGATTGTTAAAAGAGGAAGCATTATAGAAGATATTTTTGAAACTCTCAATTCAAAGGACTTAGATCAATATGCTGATATAATTGTTCATGTTGGCACAAACGACGTCGCTAACGCAACTGATATTGCGAACATAAGTTCATCAATTGAAAAACTGATAACTCTGGTAATGGTCAAGGCACCCACCACTAAATTGCATATTTCAGCAATCTCTCCTAGGAAAACACACATGACAGCAGTAACAGAAGCAAACATTATTCTTAGAGATTTAGTAAAGAGTCTTGACTGCTCCTTTTTAAATGTAAACCCAAAATGTGTGTATCAGAATGGATCAGTTGATAACACTATACTGTATGATGGATTGCATCTAAGTCATAAAGGAACAAAACTACTAGTTGAGTGTTTTGTCGAGGGTGTTGAATCCCTAAATTTAACAAATGAATTTGTTCAACATAGATCTTCAAACCTTAAAAAACAAAACAAAAAGCAACAAAGACGGAAAAACCAGCATCGTAGTGATAACATTGAGACCAGAAAATTTCGGCCACGAAATTCTTCTTCTGCATATTATCAACAGAGTATGAGAGAAAGCAGACAAAGTCAAGCATGTAAAAACTGTGGTCTATCAAACCATAATTCAGCCGAATGCTACCACGAAAACCCAATCAGATGTAGAACATGTGGCAGGTTTGGTCATAAAGACAGATTTTGTAAACATAATAAACATAAGTCTAATAATAATAATTACTACCAAAAATTTAATAACCACTATGATGATTCATATGGTAATGAGCACTTATACTCACAATACCAAGAAAATTTTTATTCTGAAAATTGATTGCCCAATATTGAATGTAGGGAGACTAGCACGTTTTCAAGTAGTTCAAAATCTACTGAGGGCGTTAGTCAAAGTGAGTTGCCAAGGTACCATAAAGACATATACGAGCCTCTTAATAACAAATGTGGATTAGTCATTGCAAATTTGAATATATGTAGTATTACACATAAATTTTAAGAATTACAACACATTTTAAATCAAAACAATATTGATGTTATAGGACTATGTGAAACCTTTCTCAATAGTACTATAACCAACCAAGAAATTAATATAGATGATTATTCTTTATATCGGAAAGACCGATGTAAATCGTCCAAACATAAAACGGATAGAAGAGGAGGTGTAGCCTTCTATACATCAAATAATATTAACCACAAAATTCGAAATGATTTTATGCCAGATCATTTAGAACTAATCACTATTGAATTAAAAAGGGAAACCATTAATCATTGTGCTATAGTATAGGCAGCCAGGGACATCGGTTGACCTATTTTTTTACGTAAATGAGATTATTTCTAAAATTGAACATGAAGGTACAGAGTATATACTAATGGGGGATTTAAATTGTGATATAATGTCAACGAATCCCAGTTGTTACACAAACCAACTAAATGAGTTATGTACAAATTATAATCTCAAACATGCAATCACTGAACCCACACGAATAACAAATAAAAATGCATCATTAATTGACATTATGGTACTTAGTAATCAAGAAAAGATGTCAGATAGTGGTGTCATTCATGTTGGAATGAGCGATCATTCAATGACGTATGTTATTTTGGGTAAAAAAACAAAATGTAAAAATATGAATAATAGAAATAATAATAATAATAATAATAATGCAAACCCTCAAAAACACCGATATAAAACTACAAGATGTTTTAAAAAATTCAATGAAAGCACTTTTCTATCTGACCTCTCATCTGTTGACTGGAATATTATATTAAACAATGGTGAGGTTAGTGATAGCGCAAAACGTTTTGAAAACATTTTTGTGAGTATAATTAACAAACACGCTCCTCTAAAAAAAACGAAGGGTACGCAAAACAGCAGCACCATGGCTCACTGACGACAATATTGTCTTGATGCGTAAGCGTGATAACTTAAAGGCTCAGTATAATAAAACTAAAGACGAAACTATTTGGAATGAGTTTAAAAAGTGTAGAAATGAATGTAATAAATGTATTCGTAAAAATAAAGTTGATCATGTAAAAAATGGCATAATGGAAAGTAATAACGATATGAGAAAAACTTGGAAGACTATCAGAAATGTCATTCCTAACAACAAGCGTAAACAATGTATAAAGGAAATCAAAGATGATGGAAATACTTATACAACTAATTATGACATAGCTAATGCAATCAATAAATATTTTTCTGAAATCGGTCAGACTCTTGCCAAAAAAAATGAAGAGTTTGTAAGTCATGAAACAATTGACTATTCTGAAGACTATGAAAAATATACAGATAAAACCTTTGATTTCCAACACATCTCAATTGAGTTTGTTTCCAATTACTTAAATAGTCTTCCAACGAACAAGGCAACGGGATATGATGAAATCCCCGCAATAATGCTTAAAATTGCATCTCCTATAATTGCGCCGGTAATTGCATATTTAATCAATCATTCTTTTACAACGTGTTCCTTCCCAGAAAATTGGAAAATTGCTAAAGTTCTCCCACTATTCAAAGAAGGAGACACCTCAAATCCAGGCAATTATCGACCCAAATCAGTCCTTCCTGTAATATCAAAAATTATCCAAAAAGCCGCACATGATCAACTTTACACATATTTAAATGAAAATAAATTACTTTATGTCACTCAATCAGGCTTTAGGCCGTCATACTCAACGTCCACTGCACTCATCAATGCCACTGAACAATGGTACAGTTGCGTAAGATGGTAGGATTATGCCTTTTAGATTTCAAAAAAGCATTTGACACAGTGAATCATAATATTCTTTTACAAAAATTAAAATTGTACGGCATTGGCAAATTCGCAATAAACTGGCTTAAAAGCTATTTATCTGAACGAACTCAAATTACTGAAATTAACAATAAAAAATCGAAACCTAACATTATAAAATGTGGTGTACCACAAGGATCAATTATTGGTCCCCTTGCGTTTCTCATTTATATAAACGACCTTCCCAATAAAATAAATAAATGCGAAATTAGCATGTATGCAGATGATACTATAATATATTACGCAGCGAAAAATGAAAATGAAATAATTGAAACAATAAACCAAGATCTTGAACATATATTTTGTTGGTTAAAATCGAACAAATTAAGTGTAAACATATCAAAATCACAGTTCATGATACTTGGCTCAAGGCAAAGGCTTACAAGTAACAGTAATACAAGTTCAACAGTTCATATAAATGGCGATCCCGTTCCAAGAGTACAGAGTGCAAAGCATCTAGGAGTAATAATTGATGAAAATCTTAAATGGAACTGTCATGTTAATCATATTAGAGAAAAGGCCCTAAAAGGCCTATGTATGTTAAGACGATGCCGTAATATGTTCCCAAGAAATGTACTAATCAACATTTCTAATTCATTAATCATTTCTCACTTAACATACTGTATTTTGGTATGGGGAAATTGCGGAAATACCTTGATGAAAAAGTTACAAACAATTCAAAACAGGGCAGCTCGGATTGCATGTAACCTAAATTGGGATGAATCCAGTCAACTAGCATTAAACTCAGCAAATTGGATATCATTAACTAAAAGAAATGAACTGGAACACTTACTTCTTGTATTCAATATTCTAAAAGATCGCGTACCACTTTATTTATCACATTTAATACAGTACAACACACCTAATTATAATTTTCGACATGGTAACCTTAATATGTACGTTCCAAAACCGAATACTGAATAAAAAAGAAACAGCATATCTTACAAGGGCCCTGTTTTGTGGAATAATTTAAACAGAGATGAAATAAATCCTTCTATGTCATTTAATCAATTCAAAAGAAAAGTAAAAGAAAAGCTAACTAATACTAGGCCTTAATTAATGTCTAGTCTCATGCAATCATTATAATAATGCAATTTACTACTATTCAATTCTAACATGCGCTTTTTTCCCCTTTTTTTTTGCAATTTTTAAGACAACAAACTTTTAAACTTTAAACCTAATTAATTTAGGCAAAACTTTTAACTTTATGCTTGCTTTTATATTATTCTTATCACGCTCGAACTTGTTGAAAAACGATCTGTTTATAATATTTTATTGATCGAACAAGTCTTTTGTAATGTCTTATTGTGCTTTATATAATTGTTTACATATATGTTACTGTACTTGCAATTTCGAGAATAAATAAAGTTTTTGATTGATTGATTGATTGAAAATGTAATTGCAAAATTCAATGTCTGATTTATCAAAACGTAGATCTAGTGTCCCAAAATGAAGTTCTAATTTTTGAAAACGTAGTTCAAATTTTCCAAAATGTAGGTCTAATTTCTTTAAAATGTAATTCAAATTCAAAACGTAGGTCTAACTTGATCAAACGCCCTCTCCAAATTCTATTTCAAAACGTAAATCAAAAACCAGCCTGGTTTGAAATACATTTTACAACAACACTAGAAAATGGACTTTAGCTACGTATAGACCGTGGGTTGAGGCTCCAAAATCGGCTTAGTTAACGAATTCTGTGACCCACCGATCCGCGCTACTTGGCATTCGCACAAAAATGTCAATACTATTTTATTGAAACATAATATAATTGTCGGCAATCGTAAATCTGTCTCTTATACACATCTAGATGTGTATAAGAGACAGGGTTGGAAATGATAAAATTGGTTAAAGGTCATATACTCATGTCAAAATATTACCGTATCAAATAATAGCATCATTTGAGTGTTATGTCGAATTAGAAGCTAGTTACTTATGTATTCATTATCATTTATCAGCAAGTACTGTTCTGTTATTTTCTTCTTTTCATATTGCATTGTAAAGTACAATACAATGCAATTCAAAAAGTCAATGCAAATTTTTATGAAGAAAATAAATGTGTTGCTGATAAATGTTCATACAAGGAAAAACCTTAATAATATCTGGTAATATTTCTCAACACAGTGTATGGTATGATTTTATATCAAATAGATAACAACATTCATATAAACAGTATACAGTTCCAATCTGATAGGAATACAGTACTTTCAATTGATTCCTGTTTCTATCCATGACCTATAATATGGCCTGAATTGCCACCAGATCCTTATCCCTCATGTAGTGACAAGGCTTCATCCTGATTTGCAGTAGCAGCCTCAAGTAATTCCACCACTCAATGTTTCACATCTTACTAATTTCTCAATGGTGTTTGCTCTATTAAAAGTACTTAATATATTAATGTCTTTTTACAAAAAAAATACATGGGAGACCATGACTTCGACCAGGAAGCACTTCCTTAATTCTTGACTTCAGGTTTCAGGTGATGCAGAATGAGCATTTGCTTTGGCTGTGGTTCATCAACTTCCATTCACTTCATTCTGTGGTCTGTGAAAATTAATTAAACAAACTAATTCAAAGAGCTTATCAATGCTACTGTGATGGTTTTAATGATCAAATATGTATTTAAATTGTTTCTTTTTAATCAAAGGTTGATTTCCAAAACAAACAAAAAAAGAAAAGAAAAATAAGTAGTATCAGTATAATACAATATTAAATGCAGGTGGTGATGTTTAATTGGACATCAGAGTGTTGATAAACATTATTTGCTTAAGTCAGTTTTGATACCTATTAATTAATATATTTTTTGTTATGTTGTGTCTAGGATTCCTATGTAGATAAAGCATACTGTACTATTAATATAATAATTTTGTTATATTCTTTTCATGAAGACATTAAAATCAAATTAAGCCTGAATTAGTCTGAGCACAGTCACTGAAGGGCACATCCCCACCCCAAAAAACTGAATTGATTCAATTTGTGTAGTAATTGTTCTTGGTAGACAGTAGTAAATAGTTGCTTTATAATTGTGGATGGCTATTCTTGATTGATTTGTCTTCATGGTCAGTTGTTTATGCTGGGTCGATTCATTGCCAACATTATTGTCTCAATATGCTTATTACAATATAACATCATCGTATTTGATTCACAATACTCTGTGGTTATTTTGCTGTCGATAGTACCCCAGTTTGATGAAAAGGCAGGGCTTCCTCTGTGTGTGTGTGGTGTGATACGCTTAGTGCTTCTCAATTAAGTAAAACATACCATACCATTTTTAACGTTATATGTAACCACACACGTACCTTTAAACAGATTCGGTGCAATTTTGACTACTACTTGCACCACCATCCCTGAGATCCCCTTCGT